AAAATACCTATCATTTTTGAGAAGAAAAAAAACAAGTTTGATTCATGTTAGAAATTATGCAGTTTAGGCTGTTTTTTAGTCACATGGTTTTATTGTTCTATTTCATAGTTATATATTCAGAAACTAGAAGATTTTAGCTTTCAAATGATGTATCACACATGTAATTTGGGCTTACAGTTCCTTAGTTATTTGCTTTTCTATTTGGGTATGCACAAAGGTGAGGATTACTTAAAATTAGGTGGATGTTAAGAAGATACCACAGTTTAAACATGTACAGTGTTAATATTTACTAAATATGTTAATATTTACAAAATATCTTCTCATTTAAGTGTGATGAAAACAGCTGCAATAAATAACAGGAGAAATTAGATTATTTAACATATCCTGCACCAATAAACTACCAAAGAAAACAGATTTTAAGAGGGAATAAAATGAGAAAACAAATAAATAAATGATGTGATCAATGATTAGCATTTTATACGTCTCCCCTGCTTGGCCTTTTCTTTTTGAAGGATGAAGATGGGATCATTTATCTGCATAAAATTGGTTATGTAGAAGATAGCTGCATGTGAAATCATGCTTGTTTTTGATTTGTAAACTCAGGACATTGTGAAAGTATCTCCATCTGTATCAAAGCCCTTTTCACTTCTTATTCACACCTGGAGCTCACTTGAAATATATAAATATTATGATCACTATAATTACGATTTTGACAAGCCCAACTTTTTTGGTGCCTCATTCAGTACTTGATACTCCAGGCACAGTGTTTGATGCCATTGCTAGGTAAAATGAACTGTATAAAGTGGAAGTGGAAGTGGAAGCCAGGCCTAATACTGGGAAAAAATTATATTTCACAGAAAGAAAACATATTGAGTATCTTGAAATCTTAAAGTTGACCTTGAAGTTGATAAAAGTGGATTCATGACATTTTGAACTTGGCTTATATGGATTTAATTTAGATCTGGCTTTGTTCTTTTTTTTCATATTGGAATAAAGAGGAGTAGTAGCACTTTTTCCCACTTAATGTCAGGGTTCCTGTGTGTTAATGAGTGTGAGTTATGCATCTCTACCAGAGAGGATCTTTGTGGAGAACCTGGGTAGCCTACACAGGTGAAGATAGTCTTTCTAATCAGAGTGCTGGGCTTAAGACAGCAGCAGAGCCTTCACTCAGCGCTGGTTTCTTGTCTCAAACTCAATGCTATCTCTGACATTTGAGTTAAAAAAGCTTCCTGGATGGGAAGCGAAAGTGTATTGTAGCATCCTTCAACTTGATGACAGGGTGTTAATTTCTTTGGCTCAGGTAGACTATGTTAGAATTAAATTACCTTATTAGAAAACCTGCTTAAAAGGGTAATTGAAGAGCCAAATTTTAGGACCACAGTCTAACATAGGAGGCAGCCAAGTATAATATACATTTACAATAAACTTTTTCTTTTATTAGATTTTTTTAATTACAAATCACTGAGCGGTGGATCATGACTTGGATGTGAATGACAAACACCTTTGAAAATGGTTAGGGAACCCCCTGTTCTTACAATGACCGTTTATTTTTCCAGGTCAGTCTTTCTTTTTGCAGTTTAGCAAGCATTTTATATCACTCTAGCATTTCACCTTTGGCAAATAGACTTGGCAGTTAATTGGCTAATTAAATCTCAGTATAAAGCGCTATCAGCAAAACTATTGCAAGACTAATCCTCTCTTTCTGAAGCAGCAATAAACGGACCCTCTTTTGTGCAAGCAACTAATGACCAGGGGATAAGATTTGTCTACAAAAACGTTTTTGATTTTTTTTTTCTATTTACTTCATTTAGTTTATTAAAATCCAGTGGAATGTGAAGATGCACAGAAAATTATCAGTGTGGAAAATTATGTAAAACATCTTTTATTTTTAACCTAACGTGTTAATAGGCCTACTATTCATGCAACTTCACATATTTTAAAGCACATCCCCAGCATTTTTAATGGGGTTATGTCCGGGGCCAGTGTAAAGGCTTAGTGCTCATTTTATCTACTATAAAATCTGTTTTAATATATCTTTAGGATGATGATCCTGCTATAAAGCCCAATTGTTCCTTGGTATCAACAAGGAAATTATTCAGGAAGTTTAGAAACAACCCACTAGACTGCCCTGAAATGACAAATGCTGGAACACCAGTTTCACAGTTCGCAGTGAGTGAAACAATTGATCAACATGGAGTTAGACGGTGCTAACAAGCCTGCTTCAAAACCGACACCTTTAAGCTCAACTGAACCTTGCAGTTGTTCAAAAGGAAAATGGTATTCTGCAGACAATGTTTTTTTTTTCAGTATTTCTAGTTCATATAAGCATCTTTTTCCCACTGTGACTAATTGGTTTAAAAGTCTAATTATAAGCTGAAAAAAAAGGATAAAGTACCTGCACTGTATTTTTCTTTTCCGTAGCACCTTCAAAGGCACTTTTACTTTTCAAAACATATGCACAAACCCTAACCCTCGGTATGTCACCTCTCTATGTTGCAATCTCATACTCTGGTACCACTTCAGAAGTTTTTCATTTATGTGTCATCAGCCAAGGACGCAAACAAGGTGACTAGCATATCATCAAGCCATCTGGTGTGCAATAAAAAGAAATAACACTTGCTCACTCACTAACACAGGGACAAGCATTTAGTACACACATCCTCTGAGTGCAATTCATGTTGATAAAGTTTAGACAGCTGAGGGTAATCCCAATATGATGACAGCAGGACATGAATACTTCTCAATGTGACCCCTCAGTTTTTGCAGCGACTTCCCAGGATATCAGTCTCCTCTTTAAGCAGTGCTCTATTTTAAAGATCAACGGTAAACAAAAGGGAGCAAAAACAGACAACTCATTCGCTTCTTTTCTGCCTCCTTTTGCATTCTGGAGTATATGAGCATCAGAGAGGCACAAACCTCAGCAGTATGCATCTCTAACTGCCTTCTGGTTCAATACATCTTCTGTGAGAGGTCCCTGAGTGGGCATTGATTCTCCTCCAGGGAGGGAAAATGTGTCTCAACCTTTGTGGATTGGATTGATAATGTTAAGCTAAATATAGCCCTGCGGCAAGGAGCAAGAGCTAAGGTTTATTTTTAGAAATGTTTTTATAGTGCTGCAACTTGGACAATACTTTAGCTGGATAGCCAAATGGATGGAAGTAAGTAAGGAAGGTAGAATGGCAACTCTGTTCAAGAGTTGGATTATACTGAGTATAATTTTTTACAAATTGGATTAAAAAGTACTTAATGTTTCTGTTTCAGAATAATGGATTGTGATTTATAATAATATATATGCTTGGTTCATAGAGTTTTGACTTTGCAGATCATACCCTCTAGCTATAGAATGGGGTCTTTTCTTATTTCACTCAAGGAATTATTTTGTCTGCAGACATTTTGCAAACTTACAGTTTAAAATTTGAGTTATGAAAAAATATGTAAGTCGTGATACTGCTGGAAAATGTGCTGACTCCTTCTGCATTTACTTCCACACAGCCTACAGTACATGCAGGGTATGAGCTGTATAATTATGTTCATAACTGTAATCCATGCAAGAACAAAGGTACAAATGTACACTGATAGGTGCTGTTTTGATCTTCCCTGTGGTCAAGATAATTTAGAGAGATAACTGATTTGTCCTGCTGTGCTAGTTATTTTTGCTGGCAGCCACATGCTGTGTTATTGGACAGGATCACATTGGACTATCTAGAACAAATTTCAATGCGGCTAAGAAAATCATTTTTTTCTTTTCTTTTTCTCAATAAAGTGATCCGTAAAAGGTTTCTGAGGCACTTGATGTACACACACACAATTGGTGTGTATACAAATGCACTCTCTGATGCAGAGAGAAAGATAACCATATTTTCTTCAGTTACTTTTTTAAAAACAGGGCAGTGCCATTCACACCAGAAAAATAAGAATAAGAATAATGAACCAGCAAAATAAAAAAAACATCTTAAAATGTCAGTTTAGAGAGGTTAAAAAAAGAAAAACAGGAAGTACATGATGCTACATCTAGACCACATCCATTTGCAGTATGCGTTTCTGTGTTGAGCCGTAATTATTTATAAGCGGAGCTCAAACCATTACTATGGAGGAGAAACTGAGAGGTCACTAAAAAAAGCTCAATATTTTAGTAGTGTTCAATTTTATTACAAGCTAGACCTGCACGGATATTGACCTTTTAAAAGCTGCCATTTAATAGTTGTATTACCTATTAGCAAAATAAATAGTTTATACGTACTCTGAAGCAGTTAGAAGTTAAAACTTATATTATCTATGAGGGACTCATAGATAATCTAATGTGTAATATGCTCCTCTTCATGTTTATTCCTAATTAATCTGACAAATCTTAAATAACATATTTGATTTAGTTTAAAGAAATGAATCACTTTGTATATTTTCAATTGTAAAATCAGTCAAAACTAATTTTTATCATATTTTTTTATATTCTTTAGTTCTGAAGTTGACGTTTTCCTTTTTCCAGATTCATTTACAAAGCTTGTCTCAATTTGCCTGCAGAGTGGAATAGTTTGTAGCACCATTTCCTTGCAGCAAAAAGGTTTGATTCCTGTGATTGTTAGGTTAACTGAAGATCTCTAAATTGTCCCTAAGAGTGACTGTGTGTATGGTTGTGTGACTATGTGTTGTCCTGTGATTGGTTGGTGTCCTGCCCAGAGTGTACCACACATTTCACCCATGGACTGCTGTAGATAGGCACCAGCCCCACCTTTACCCTGACAGATTAAGCAGGAGATTTCTCAGGATACCTCAGTTTTTACATCTTTAATGTCCATGCTGCTATTCTATAGTAGTCACACCAATCACAGTGAATGGCACCATGTTTGTTTAGTCTACCAAATTAAAGGTACACCAAGAACAATAAATGTTATGTCTGCAAAAAGAAAATCAACTGTAATGCTTGAGTAGAGGTGTTACATTGTTATAGGTACTACATATCTAGAAGAAAACAGCAATGGGGCGGTCAAGTGGATCAAACTTACCTGTAGATAGTGACAGGGTCTCAAGCTGGGTTTAAGGTCAGTGGGGGTCATAGGCTTCTCCAGGTTGAGTGATGACTTCCTGTAGGCTTCCTTGGCTTGGCTGACGGTTAATGTTGACCAGGAGCTCCTTTTCATGAATTTGCCCTCAGGGGCCATGCTAATGCTCTCGCAGGCTGAGCATTTGACGTCGTTGTTGCTCTTGGAAGTCTTTAGCGACAGGTCCCCCGCCATGTGACTGTGCATTGAATCTGGGTAACAGTGGCTGATGTGGTCAATAGGATGCCGTGACATGATGCTCGGTGTCCTGTAGGTGCTGTCACTATCAAGATTGTCATCCGAACTCCACCAACCGGCATGACGCTGCTTTCCTCCACCATCAGATTTACGGTCTTTGCTCTTGCTGCGTTTGCTGTGTTTGTGGTGGCCTTGGTGGTGGTGATGGTGGTGGTGCGAGCCATCCCTGTGTGAGTCACTTTTGGTACCATTCATCTTGGAAGATCCCTCTAAGGAGTGGGACTTTGTGAAAAGTTTCTGTACTGAGTGAACTAAGTGGCGAATTCGTCCGGGGCTTTCATTGCGATGTTCTGTAGTTGTAGTTGTGGTGGAGGTTCGTTGGTACTGCAAAGTGTGGAAGCCATCTCTGTGCAGTGGTATTTGCTTTTCAAACTGATCCAAAAGATTTGCAGGAATCCGGTTCATTTTGCCACTGCCACCATGTGAGGAGGAGCCACCGTCATCCCGAGAATCCCTACCACCAGAACTGTTTCCACCTCCATCTCTTGAAGCACTGCCATAATGCATACGAGGAAAAGTGCTACTGGATATTGAGTGATCAGTGGTGGATAGGGACACCGGCATCATCATGCATTCAGAATGGATGGAGCTCCGGGGGGAGCAGCGGTGATGACTCTCAAGGGCACAACTGTCAGTGGGGCTAAGGAGGTAGGTGGGTGACCGCGGGTCTCCATGGTGAAGATGGTGATCCAGCGAGTGGTCACATTCGGCCAAACCACATGCATGAGGTGAAGTAGGTGACGTAAGCTGGAGATGGGCAGGGCGGCCACCAGAGAGACCCTTCATGTTCCTGGGTAGAGGGGAGTAAGTGTCCTCATCGAAATACTGTGATGGTGACCACGAATACTGCTGGTCTGTGAAAGAAGGAGATAGAAAACAAAGGAAATGAGTAAAAAACATTTATTCACAGCAGAACAATGGGATCTTATCACGTATACGTTGAGCATTATCAACAACTTTTCCTCATTTCAACCAGTGGGCACCACCGAAAAGTCCATAACTGTGGACATGAACAGGCTGTAAGGACAAAACCTCAGGAATTTTATAACACCTTTCAAATCACATCTGTGGTGGCATAATACTGCTACGAGCAAGAAAACTATGGCAGTTATAAAAGGGAAGGGCAGAAGCCTGCAATGCCAATTTTTCAATGCAAAGTGAAATAATAGCCTATCACTTCACTGTATCGGCATCATCTGTCAAAGCCTGAAAGAGTGCACTTCGAGGCATACGGCCAGATAGGAGTCCTTGCAAGGCAATCACCAAATCTACTATCCTTCACTTTCCCTGGGTGTCCTGTTGTTTTAGATGGAAAACCAACTCTGTGTGATCTGCCATCAAGGGCAAACATGCTACAATAACATTTGTTTAATTATAAGTAATGTTTAAGTTACCATTGAATCTTATTGGAATCTTCTTGCTATGATGTTAGAATATACTGTACACACTTTAATTCAGGATTAAAAAAGATCCAAACCCATTACTTCAGTTCTTCATGGAGGATTTTATATCACATGAAGGGTTTTCAAATCATTTTATACCACAACATAAAACTATTTATATTTTATTGTGTTTTTTGAGTAAGAACACCAATACATTCACCATCTTCCTACAATTTCCTTAAACAAAATTCAGAAAGTACAATCAGAAGTAATCTAGATAGATTCCAACTGTGTGGAAATAATAATAATAATAAATGTTATTATTATTCAGAATTTTATAAACATTAATAATAAATCTAGAGTACTTAGAACTGCAGTTTTTCTGTGGTCTCAGGGTTGTTAGAGAACAATAGAGACCAAAACTGCTCATGAGAAAAGGCAAGGATTATAAAGAACATCAGAAGCTTATGACATATTCATAAACACTGTCCATCATTTTAAAATGGAAAGAATGCTTCTAATCTGTAGACCTGCCAGTACAAGGCTACCCATCTGAAGTGTCACGTTGGGCAGGGGGGATCATTAAACATAGAAGCAGCTCAGTTGGGAAAATCTGTCAAAGTTTCAGGCAGAACTAACCCTACACATACAGCTATAAATGAATGTTATAGATCAGACCTTATTTGTGTGTTTTTATCTGTGTGAAGAATGCAAAAACGGTTAGAAAATGATATTCAGAGATGCAGGTTTTCCAGTCTGAGAGGCAATTCAATCTCCAGACAATCAAAGCTAATAACCTCACAAAGGTAGCCCTACAACATATTGATTTAGTGTGGTTAATTATAAATGCAGCTGCTCAGTGGAAAACTGGGTAGCACTGCTGCCTTGCAGCAAGAAAGTTCAGGGTTTGATTCACGGCTCTTTCTGCTTAGAGTTTGCATGTTCTCCCTGAGCATGCGTGGGTTCTTTCTGGGTACTCCAGCTTCCTCCCACAGTCCAAAAACGGCTGTTAGGTTAAATGGCTTCTCTTAATTCTCCTTAGGTGTGAGTGTGTGCGTAAATGGTTGTTTGTCCTGTTTGGCTCTGTGATGCTCTGCGATGGACTGATGACCTGTCCAGGGTGTACCTCTCGCCCGTAGACAGCTGGAGATAGGCACCCGCACCCCTCGCAACCCTGCTTGGGATAAGCATGACGGAAAATGGAATGGATGGATTATTATAATTTCAGGCTATATTTTCATTTCTGTTTAAAAAAACACCCATAGATTCCAATCCTTTTAACTATTATGGACTGTTTAAAGCTGGCCTAACACATACAATGTTAATGAAGTAGGAAAAGTTATA